AATACTCCGAAGTAGCCATATATAACGCCGTTTCAATTTTGTGCAAAGAAAAATATACATCTACGTGTGTCAGCAGACGATAATTGCGATTCCATCGCATGTAAAGGGCATTGAAGCAGACGCCGCCGCTTCATGCTATTTACAAAAACTATATGGACGTGCTGCTTCGGTCGCTGAAGTCTTCTTCGCCCCTTACCGTCGCCGGCGGCTCTGCTTATTTCACGTGATAATATGACTGTTGCGAGTTCGTCCGACTTCAATATCCCTAAATAAAAATATAATACCCTATGAGAGTGCACCAATCAACGTTTGTCCACCAGTCAAGGTGCATCAAGTCTTCCATCCATCATGTTGGCGCACCGACTGGTAGTCGGCAGCCGGCGGTACTTTGCATCGGCAACAGCTTCAACCCATGTGCATGCTCCATTGAGCCCCGAGATCCAAGCCTTGCTGGAGACGTTCCGGTCAAACCCAAGGGATGCAACGACCAAACTGCTTCAAGAGCCGGCCGACAGCTTGCCTGAACCAGCAGCGCTGGAGCACGTCGTGACGCAATTGTTCCGAGGCAAGCACACAAAGGAAGCTCTCGACATTCTCCAAATGTCGTTGGACCGATCGGTTGGAGTTGACTTCAGCATTGCAATCCGCAAGTCGGGCGCCCTGGACCGCCAAGATTCGAAAGCCGTGTTGGCATGGCTCCACGAGAATGTCGACAAGATCGATACGAACCAACACGTGTCCATGATCCGCGTCTGCCTACGACTCAAGCACTTCTCCAGCGCTGTTCATCTCTTTGAGCTGATCCGTCATCGCTCCTTCAATGGACGGGACCTCTCCAAAGACGTAGGCTCAGCCAATGCAGTGCCAGTGATGGTTACGTTACCTTTAGGTCATGCATCTCTTGGCAGCCGCGGAAGCCATACCGAATGGTCGTTTGCGCTATGACCTCCAGACGAAGATCCTTCGATTCCATACCCATCCGAACGATATCTCCGCCATTGACCTCATCGTCGAGATGTGCCAGCGTCAGCCGGACGCTGCGAGTCACTGTATACAATGGGCTATTGGTGCCATTTACTGGCGGTCGAACGATGACTGGCCGATCCGTGTGGCGCAAATCGAATCGATTTTCGCCACCGCGTTAGCCCGCGGCGTGGTGCTCGTGAGTCCCATGCGTTTCTCGATGATTTTTGCCAAGTGCCGTGACCACGACCTTGACCCCGAAAGGCTCGTGCACGTCTTCCTCGCCATGGTCGGCCAAAACCTCGTCGTTGCGAACGAGTCATCGTGCATGGCTGCTATCCATGCGTGCCAGAACTTTCACAATTACGCTCTGGCGCTGACCCTGTTCAAGTACCTCAAGGACCAGCTCCACCAGCCCATGACAAGCCGCCTGTACAACACTGGTTTGTACTCTGCTGCAAAGTCGGGTAATGTTCCCATCTTTGATGCATCTCTGCCTTCCCGAGTGAATGACGCGTCGAGTGGATGGTGGTGTTGCGGTTGTTGTGCAGGTGGGCATGACCTTTGGTTCTAGGCAACGAAGCGACTGCGGCAAATTTGGCAGCCGAGATGCTTGCGGCCAACGTAAAGCCAGACAAGCGATCGCTGGTGGTGGTGCAGTCGCTCGCGGCATCGCCGACGTCGATGGGACTGCTTACAAAGTGCCCGCAGCTCGTGGAATTCTTGGCCATTTCAAACTCTTCCATCAGGGCAGAGTCCACAGCTTCTCCCCGTCAACATCCCCCGCTTCGGAAGCAGCCCTCGAGCAGCACCACTGTCAAAACCGATGCAGCTCCCCAGACTACTCCTCCTGTCCCTGCTGAAGACAGCAAGTCATGCACCGTCATGTAGTGCAAAGGACAAGTGATGGGGTGATCTGCACACCAAAATAGACAATACGTAGAAAGTCGCCATCCCCGAGATAGATGTGGCAGCGTCTACGGGCCTTGTGCAAATCATGGGTGCATGGATTCCATTGTCGATGCCGCCGACGTTGCGTTCACGCTTGATCTTGTCGATATCGGATCCTGCCCCTGGAATGCTATCCAAAGTGTTGTACGATGCACATGATTTCGTTCACTGCATTCGTTCGCAGTCGGAGTTGCCGCCCCCAACAAGTAGATGGTGCCGTCACTCGCATCTATTGACCACCTCGAGCCATCCACTCGAACTAGTCGGTGCGACACGGACCGTCATGTCGCAGTCGTGGTATGCGTTGACTATTCTGGCAATCAAAGCCAATGCACATTGGCGGTGGTTTGACTCGAGAGTGAAAGCCACGCAAGTCGCTCTCTCGTACTAAACCCTCACATGTTGCGTCGAAAGCGCCGTAGGTACTCCAGTAGGTGGTCCGATGATCCCAACGCTAAGGACAGGTCGTAGTTGGGGGTAGAAAGGCCGGGGAGGGGTCCTGTGTGACCCACCGCTGCGTCGTCCTTGGCGTCGTCCACGTAACGCGGGCACCAATGTACCGCTTCTGAATCTTTCGCGACAGTTCTTGCCTCGTCCCATGCCACGGGATCGTTTAACGTGTTTGACCGGGAGTTTTATTCAAGCAGAGTAATAAAACCGGTGTGTCGACGCGGTGAACTTTCAAACGCTGCTTTCAATTCGTCAACGTTCGAAAATCTCGCCAAATTCGGAAGATTTCGTGCAATTTCAGTCCGAATCCTCCGAATTTCAAGCATTTTTCGAATCCTCGAAATTGCAGCAGATGTTCGGCAAATGACAAGCCATGCGACGCGCCATCACCTAACGACACAATCCGGATAAATGGAGCCAGGAGGATGACCATCCCTTCCGACCTCCGCCCAAACAGCGCATACCATGCCACCGTTCATCTCTCATGTGCACCCCCACGAAATATTACACTGAGGACCGCGGATTTTTGCTCTGCGCGAGTAGCTATGCACGTATCCAAGTGCGTGAGGCCAGGTTTTCCGGATAATGCGTTACTACTGTGGGATAGACTCGCCCGACCAGCACTTGAACCAGCCAATCCACGTCGAGCACCTGGGACCAGCAACTGCCTCCTCGCACATTTTTCAATCCACCGGCCGCCGAAAGATGCTCCCGACGGCATCGAAGCGAATGTCCGCGGCACACAAGCACCTGCTCGCGATGAAGGTGGAGGGGGAGTCCTCGCTGTCCCCGTCCATGTCGTCCGAGTGGCGGAGCAAGTATCTCGAGAAGCTCCGTATCAACCCGCACCTCGCGACTGGTGTCTCCCGCGATGGTCGCGCCGAAACCGACCCATCGAGTCGCCTCAGCGCACCGATCATGATTCCAAACAAGACTCGCAGTACGTCGCTTGAAGACCCGACGTATTACAGTCCACACCATCGACTGTCGTGGGAACGATCGCTGAGTCCATTGCCGCCTAAGCGAACATCGTACAGGACAGCCTCTCCCGAGTCGGACATTGACTTAGATATTGGGCTGTTCCCAATGGGGTCACCAGAGTTGACGCACACAGATTGCAACGAAGACGTTGATCGCGGCATGGAACTCGACGACGACCGAGACATGCACCCGCACAACGCTCCGACTGGTACGAACGGAAGGTGGCGGCGGGGGTTTATTCCACCACATCAAATGATCCAGCGCGATTGCTTTTCGCTGGGCGTGCAGCATCAGTTTCGAAAGCGTCCAACGGGGGCCGCTGTCATTTAGATGAGCGCTTTACTTTTTATTTAACATCACGATGCAGTGCCTTCAAGGGGTTCTATCTGTTGTGCGTCGTCAATAAACCATTGAAGCCCTCGTCCAAAAACATCCCACAAGGTAGGGACACCAGCGATCTTGTTAAGAGATAGCCCACCCCGCATCCGCCCTCAATTCCCCTCAAGGACCCGTCACCACCTCTCATCATCACTTCGTCCGCGGTTAGTCCCCACTGCAAGATTGGCCACGATCTAGTTGCACCGCCCAACACCCCCCCGACGGGCGTCATGTTCCAGAGGCGCGTTGTTGACCAGATGGACCAGATGCCCTGTCATGAGAGCATCTGTGTGATTGCGTTGACATGAGAGCGGCCACTGTTGGCACATTCCTTGGGGCATGGCCTCGCACCTTGAGGTGGCACCTGCACCGCCTCGCCAAACAAATTCGGAGGCCCATCGACTCGTTTCCACGGGATTCGAGACCGCTGAGCTTTGTGACACTTGGATCATTACGACGATCGTTAACTTCGTGGTTGGGGGTAGCAGGCTAAGCGTTCAAATTGCCGATAAGGGCGGTGCCGTTCAGAATCCAGAATGCAGCGGTGAAGTCGCATGGAAGGTGGACCGATATGATGTAGTTGGATGAGATGCCGGTCGTCGACAGTGTGCCTCTTCGCGCAGTTGTCTTGTACACGGGGCAGTCGTACCATGTGCCGGCCTTGCTCTGGCCATGTGTGACCGCAACGTTAGGGAGAAAGTGGATCGGCGGTAGCACCGACAGCATTTCGTTCGGTCGCGCATCCGTGAGGACTTTGCGGTCGCCGTCCCACCGGCCGCCTTCGAGAAACAGTCCTATGCATGTGCACAAGATGAGGTCGAGTCCGCGTGTGCGGTCGAACCTGTCACGATCGCGCCGTCGGCTACAACCAAGTCGGGGGGGTCAATCGCAAAGGAAAACTCGAGCGTGTTGATGGGCACGAGGTGCTTTCGCGCGTGGTTCTGCAGCACGCCGGTGAGGAACCCCTGGGGAAAGAAGAAGGAAGGAAGCGGAAACGTCGTCGGCTGGCCATGCTCGAGCCACTCGCGAAAGAATTGGACTCGCTCGACGAGGTCGACGAGCCAAGACGAGAGCGGTTTGAGCGATGCGAACCCGACCTTGTGCCACTCGGGAGGCACTTGCTTGAGCAGCAAGCTCTTGTACGTCGAGTCTAGCGCTTCGCTCATCGTGACGACACCCTTCACGGCGAGCTGGAGCTGCGCCACGGACAGCTGGACCACGCGAATGAGGGCGTTGAATTTCACCATTTCTTGGCCGAGCACGGTGGTCAGCGAGTCCATGAGGGCCGTTGGAGGGGGCGGCATCTCGGAAGCGGGCCTCTCGAGCAACTTGGGCAGATTCGCATCGACTTGGACGGCAAGTTGTAGCACAATCGCATCGTTGTTATCCTCCACCGGCGTCGACGATGCGGACGCCCCTCGGGACTGCAAGGCCATCGCCGTGTTGAAGAGGGCATTTGTTTCCTGCGTCTGGAACACAATGTTGGCGTTCTCGTGGAGCCCGAACACGCCGGGGGCGTCGTGGCCCGGCAGCAACTCGATAAAGTCGCGGAACTGACTTGCTGTGGTGCAGTATCCCGGGGCAAAGTATACCTGGGACGTCGTGGTAAAGAATCGGCCTGGCGCGTCGTCGTCGACCGTCGCGGCCGAGTAAAAGCGCTGGAGGTTCGTCAACAAGCACCGGCGGTCGAATTCGTCCGTGACGCGGCCGCCGTAGTTGATCTCGCCTGTCACGTAATGCAGCGCTTCCCACGGAATATGGTCGTTCTCGTCAAGAAACGTGCGCAAGACCGCCATGGCCGTCTCCAAGTCCGAGTCGTTGAAGTGGTAGCTGAGAGTCCACCCAATCGGCCCAAACTTGGCCCGCTCCTGGAGCACTGCGTGGAAAAAGCACAAGCCAAACACAAGCTTTCTCCACGCTGGTTTACTGCACTGGCTGAGCGCGTCATCCGTCACCACCATCTCGAACGACCGGAGCAGGTTGGGCTTGAGGCCCTTGGGAGGCTCGTTCGTGACCTTGACGCTCGACTGCAAGATCGCGATGGGAAAGTACGTGGCGGGAAACGACGTCAAGAAGAGGCGAAAGTCATCGTGGACGTCGCTGGGGTCGACGCGGAGCGAGTGGAGGATATGTTCCAGCGCCGGCATCCACGACTTGGCCAGGTGGCAGTTTTGTAGCAGCACCCACTCGCCACTCTTGGCGCACTGGGCAATGAGTGCGCTCGCGACCGCTCCTTGGCCTTGTCTAGAATGGAGACAAAGGTCAAGCGTCCGTACGCATCGAGGTGGATCGCTTACCCAAGGGACACAACATGCAGCGCATCGTCCTTTTGCTTGGACTGCGCAAATCGATGCAGGATGCTCGTCGGGTCCGCGCCAGACGAAAGGACAAACACACATGGAACAGTCTTGGACAGGTCGGCGAAAATGTCGGCCATGACGAACGGCGGCGACTTGGTGTATTGCGGCCTAGTGAGACAACGTCAATCCTGCCGGCCAGAACCATGCAAATAGGTCACCCCAAAGAGCGTGCGATGAAGGAGACGGCACTGGCGATGCCGCGGTCTTGGCGAAGTGCCTTGACAAGCACCAGCTTGGTAAACGAAGTCAACTTGACGTCAAAGTCGTCCGGCATGGCGGCGCAGTACGGATCATCGTGTCGAATCCACTGACCCCATGCCTCAGGGTACATGTGCATCGACAACGGGAGCCCTTCCATGGCAAAGCAGGACGCCGCGAGTGTTTCAACGACGCCCATTTGCTTTGACGTGATGTGGCCATCGGCAAGCTCTTGGGGGCGAATCGCGAGTGGGTCCACAACGACAGGGTTGAGGAGCGCGACGTCGGCTGGCGACACGACCGCCGCTTCCATCGCGATGCGGACGGAGATCAAGAGCGAAAACAGAAGCTTGTGGGACTCAAACAAGCCTCGACAAACGTTGCGGTACACGAGGAACATTTGGCTCTCGATGAGCATCTCGACGCGCGCGTCAATGTGCTGGCCCAGCACCTTGACGCAGTCGTCCATGCTCTGGTTGAACAGGCGGGAAAAGTATTCGAGCGAGTACTGGTACATGGGATCGACGGCGGCCAGGTCGGCTAGCACGAAGTACAAGATCGATCCCCGCGACGACACACCGCGGTACTTGTTGCGGATCTCCGAGATCTCGGCTCGGGTCACCTCCGATTCCGCCAGGCGCTCCGACACGACCGTCGCTGTTTGTTTCGAGTCGGCGAGGGTGTTGATGAGGACTTGGTCATCCAGGATGTTGCCCTGCGAGTTGGACAGCAGCGCCAGTATCTTAGACTCGATCGACTTGAGGATCTTTTGATCGTTGGCAATGCTGGCCAAGAGAGTGTTCTTTCGGAGCTCGACGTCGGGCTGCTCCTTGCGCACAACGTCGCCGAGGAGCTGGTCTTCCAGTCCTACCAACCCCCCATCACGTTGAGACAGTGCCGCCACCGTTCGTCATACCTTCTTTCGTGACGGTAAAGTTGATCGTGTTCACTTTGATGCATACGTCGGGAAGGTAGTGCGGGTTCGGGAGCTTGGTCACCATGTACAGCCGAAAGTTGCGGTCGTACAGGACGTCCTTGTCGCCCAGCCGAAGCATGAACTTGCCACCCTGCTTCACGAGCGACTTGAGCAGTAGGGTGTCGAGCGCCGGATCGAGAACTTCCTGCACGTCTTCAAGGAGCAACGGATGGCCGTCGCGGACGCACGTCTCGACTGTGCGAAGGAGTTGCTTGTCGTGAAGTTTGACGACGTCGAGCCCGAATGGCTGCTCCATGCGCTTGATCCAGGTCGACGCTTGCTGCTGCGGGTCGATCAAAAGCGGCCACCGGTCGCCCCGGAAGAGCATGATGGCGTTCTCGCCCGAGACACTGTCCGTCGGAAGGCCATGGAGCTGCCACTCCCGCAGCTGGACCGAGTCGCAGCACGTGTCCAAGAGGGAAAATGCCGGCGTGCACGGAAGCAATTCCTTGCACTGGAGCATCCAGAGATGCGTGAGCTTGGCCCGAAACGTGCAGTCGAACGGACCCAAGTAGCTGATCGATGCGGCCGACAAAAAGACATCCCCCACCAAGTTTAGCTCGTCTGCCACCATCTTCTCCATGCTGGCCTTCCACCGGACAAGTTCATCGGCAAGTCCGACCGTGAGCTTCTCGGCGCGCTTGAGCCGTTCTCTCGTCAAGTCGGACTCCATGATGAGGCGCTTCTTCTCGGCCACGACAGAGTCGCACTGCGCTTGGAGTCCCCGCACGCGCGTGATGACTTCGTTGAGCTCGGCTTGCTTCTTTGCGAGCTTGCCGTTGGCGTCCTGAAGGACTGCGTTCATCTGGTTGAGCCGGTCGCGCTTGGGCCCGACCTCCTTGACCACTTTGGCGTATACGTCCATTGCATGAATCCACATGCACAGACTCATGGCGGCCTTGGACACCTTTTTCACTTCCTCGACGGCGAACTCGGGGCTCTCGGTGTACTTTCGGATCTTCTTGAGGGTCGCAGGTGGGATGTTATCTTTGTCGTACTCTTTGAGTTCTTGCATGAAAGTGGATTTGGCCAGGAGCTTCTTGGCCGTGTCCCAGTCGGGCTTCTCGCCCACCATGATACACACGGCTTCCATGACGACCTACCACCCGCCATCAGGTCCCTGTCGATGTTGTATTTACTTACAATCACGATTTGAGGAGGTTTGGCGAAGCTTCGGACCTCCGTGATGTCCTTCTTGTCCAGCGAGTCGAGCGCTTGCACGGCAGCGTTCAGCGCCGGCATGGCCGTCTCCAAGTCTTTGAGAGCATCGGCTTGAATGATAGACACTTCGTGCGCTTGGGCTTTTACCACGGCTTCGTCATGGCTCACCTGCACCACCCCAATGACAACTTCAACCCACAGAAACGACTGGCGTCGTACCTTCTGCTCCACAATTGCCGCCTCCTTCTGGTCAATGGAGACCTGCTTGAGTAGATCTTCGGCTTCCACGGCCTTGGCAGCGAGCGTAGGCTGCAGGTTTGTCAACTCAATCTGGAGAGCCGCAACGATGCGGTTTGTGTCTTCGAGCTTGATAACACCCGTGCTGAGCCGGTCGAACGCTTCCTTGGCCTGCTGCCGCTTCTCCATGAGCATGCGCAGGTACAGCCGAATCGAGTCTAGGTACGTCTTGGGCGTGATATACACATGGCGCTGGTACACCTGACGGAAGAGGACGGTGTGGCGGCCGATGCTGTGGTGCACTTGCACAAACATTTGCGCGAGCGCCTTTCGCGACGACTCGGCGGCCAGGACGACGTCGTTCAAGTAGCTTTCCGCGACGCACAGGAGGGCGCTGGTCGGCCATTCCTCGTACCAGTCCATGGTGGTGCAGTTGATGAGCGACGGAAACTGCCGGCACCGCGATCGGAACATGGATCCGACAGGGGACATGCACAGGACGATGTGCAAGTGGCTTCGGATGCGCTGAACAAACGAGCGCTCGGCGTTCTGCCGCGTGTCGTCGAGTGAAAGCTGCTGGAGAATCGGCTTCATGTCGTTCATGACGGCTTCGAATTCTTCGTGCGTGAACAGGTTGGGGATCTCGCCAGCATTCAAGAGCGAGTTGATGTCCTCCACAAACTCGTCCGAGATGAGCTGCGTGTCCGTGAGCAAGAACATGGTATCTTTCCCCCGGACGCCCGTCTTGACCAAGAGCGTCTTGAGGTCCTCCCGAAATTCGTTCCGGCCGTAGTGCCGCGTCAACTCGATTTCAAAGCAGTCGTGGCCCATGATGGAAGCCGCAAGCTTGGCCAGACTGCGTTTGCCGGACCCGCCGACCCCAATCAACATGGCGTTTCCCCGCGGTTGCATGAGAATCCGCGCCATGCTCGACACATGCATGATCGTGTCGCGAAAAAAGATGAGCGTCAGCGGCGTCGAGTGCGAGCTGTTGTACTCGTCCACGAACGAGTTGAGGAGATCTTCAAGGGATGCGATGTCGGCGATTTCGTCGTACTCTTTGACCGTGCCCGTCCCGAAGCACCCAAACAGCACCGAGATCGCGTCGTCCGATCCAAAGATTCCGTCGTGCGTCCACCCCATCCGAAATGTCTTGTTGACGAGTTGGATCAACGTCGTGGTGAACCAAGTCCTGTCTTGCTTGCTCACGAGGCGGTCGCAGAACACTCGCAGGCACTCGTGCATCCACAACTTCACCGTTCCGTCCACTGAAAACGACGGACGAAGCGTCAACACCCCTGCAAACACCTTGACCACATCGCGCAAGTTGAACAAGTAGTGGCACTTGGACGGCGTCGGGCGAAGCTCGGACGAAACAGCGCTGTACAAACTGATCGTGGCATCCACCACGTGCGTGGCGGCGTCTCGCACGGCGGGGGAAAAGTTGAGCGAATGGAGGTGGCCCTGTACAACTGCACTAAAGATCACGCGCATCGCGTCGTCGTTGCCGGCTGGAAGCGAAAACACGGTGAAGTACCGCATGAAGCGCTGGCTCAGCACTTGCCGCCCGCCACCTGCGTCGTTGGTGAGGTCACGCGCAAAATGAAATGGGCGCGATGATATGGACCTGGGTGTCCCGCAGCGGCCGTGATGACGGTGTCCGATACGTCTTTCCAAAAGTACTTTTCGCGGTCGTACACGCCCTTTTGGTCGAGGAGCTGCCGGAGCAACTCAATGCACGGTTGCGTTCCGTACGCGTCAGCCGCCGGCAAGTTGATGTCGTCGGCGAAAATCACGACCTTTTGGCTGACTGGAGCGCCGAGGAGCGTTTTCCGCTTCTTGATAAGCTTCGACTCGATGCTCGACTGCGTCGTCGCGCTCGTTGTTTGCGCCGAGAAGTGCACGTATACTGGAATCACTCCTGTTCCTGCAGACCGACGACTTTGTGACGGGAAGCCACCTGAAAAGCACCCACCGTGGATGTCGCCGGTCGCGGCCAATTTGTCCAGCACCGAGTGAGCAATCACGGTCTTTCCAGCGCCCGTATCTCCCGTCAGGAAGACCGGCTTCATCGCGGCCACCAACAGCGAGAACAAGCGCGAGTACTTGGTCACGTCGACGGTTGGAACCATAATGTTAAACACCGGCGTGTGCATTTGGTAGGCAAACGCTGGCACGTAGTTGTCCCAATGGGACCACGCAAGCTCTGTGAAGTCGATGGAAAAATCAAATATGCACGCCATGGTCCGAGAGGACCCGGTGCCGACGCAGCTTGCCGCGCCGCCAGTGCTCTTCCCACAAACCTAAGTGGCCCACGATCGAGTAGCTGAGCACAAGTGCACCCCATGTCGTTACCTGCATCAGGGACGGGACAAAGAGCGTCTTCTGGTCAGCGATCCACGCGATGAAGAGCTGGTTGAATTGGCGCTGGTCGTTCTCAAACAGATTTCCGCCAAATGCCCACCCCATTGCAAACACAAGGATCATGTCCAAGCATTTGTGCTGCCTGTCGCTGTCCGCGGAAGGAAACCACTTTTGTTGGCGGTGGAGGAGGGTCGTGAAGAGGTCGCACCCATTCATGACCAAACTCAAGAACGTTGTCTGCAACGGCAGTGGAAACGAATACGTCCACGGCTCGTCCAAGAGCGCTTCCAGCTGCTTGAGGACGCGGCCGCGCAGCTTGGTGGACCCGTACTTGGCATCGATGTCCGTGCCAAATGTCTCGCACAGCCACGTTTCGATGCATGGCCGCCAACCTAGCGTTTTGTCTGAAAAGTAGAGCACGCCGAGGCGCGACACGGACGCAGGCGAGGCCGAGTTCATGTCGGACACTTCAAAGACGAGGCGCATCTAGTCGAATGCGATGAGAACCGACGGCTGTGCGACCTGTCGTACTCGAGGAAGCAGTTTGATGCGCTCGCCGTTGGCAAGGCACAGCGTCATGTTGTCATCCAAGACCGTGTTGAGGTTTTCAATCCAAAGCGCGTCGATCGGGCCGTCAAATACGAGCCATGGGATGACCTCCTTGTCGGGACCGCCTTTGATCTCCTACACTCGATCGATGAGAACTGCGGCGGCGCTTTGAACGCACCGCGTTGTCGGTGATGATGCTTCGCATGAGAAACGACGCCAGGCCATCCTTCCACTCGTGCGTGAGGGAGTGGAAGCTGCCGTAGAGCTCGCCCAGCGAAATGGATTTCGGGTTGAGCGCATGGACTGTGACCTTCTGGAACCGGCGGTCGGCACTCTGCTTGTCATCGCGAAGGTCCGCCATGGCCTTCTTCAAAAGCGTGTAGCATGTAGTCTTGCCGCTGCCACTGCAGCCCGTTAACGCTACCCCGGAACGAACTTGCAGCGTCTCGAATAACTCGACCGTGCGCCTCGTGAGCGCCGGGACGTCTTGGTACCTACAGGAAAGTCACTGCGGTCTGAGCTGCATGCAGTAAGATGTACCCCATCCCCCGTTTCTGCTGCACAATGCTTTCTTCCAGCGCGCTGGACTGCGCCTCCGGCACTTGGACGTTCGGGAACAAGTCGCGGATGATCATGAGGAATAGCACGAGGTCGTCGTCGACAAATTTGGGCAAGTTGGCCTCGCGAAGGGCTCGGATGAGGAGCAATTCTTCACTAGTGACGGCCGCTCCGGTGGCTGCATTCGACTGCTGCCGCTTCATCCCACCAGCCATGACGAGCACTGTCTTGACAGCGCGCATGCCAAAGTCGTAGTGCGTCTGCTGGCTGAGCTGTTCCGAGCACAGCTTGTACAGCTTGGTGATCTTTTTGCTCAAGTCCTTTGCGTTGTCAAACCCCTCGGAGAACATCATGATCTCGGCAATCAAGCTGTAGTCTGGCACCATCATGGACACCGGCCGAAAGCAAATCTACTTGGGCGTGAGCGCCTCGCCTTGGACGGTTGCTCCATACCTTCAGGTTATCGGGCAACTCGGTGCGGCCCGCGTACCCAGGGTTCATCGTCACGATCACGTGGTGGTCCTGCAGGAGAATCGTGCGGCCTTCAAAGCACAAGTCGGTCGTGCCAGCAAGTCGTCCGTGCCGCAGGATCATGAGCTGCTGTGCGATCACACTCAGCACTTCGATGTCGATGCGGTTAAATTCGTCGAGGCACGTCCAGCACCCACACTGCGACAGACCACAAAAGAGTTTGGCCATGATTTTGTAGTCGATTTGATCCGAGCAGTTGAACACAATGCACTGGATCGCAAGGGCTTTTGCCAGGTCTTTGGATGTTTCGGTTTTGCCTACTCCATGTCTCAAGTCAGATGACCACCAAAGCCTCCATGACACACGCGCCTGTTCCGGCTGGCCCCGACGGCGACGCGCCGAGCTTCAAGTCGAACGCGCCTGTAATTGTCATCCAGCACCTATCTGTCAGCGGCGTAATGACCAGTCGCGAGCACGCGCCCATGTATTCGTAGCCGTAGTGAATCGTCACGTTGGACTGCTGGATCACTGTGTCATCCGCGTCTGCGTCCCACATGTACCGAAGCTGCTTTTTCCAGCTAAAGTCGTGCGCAGCGTGCACTTTGAGCTCGATCAACTCCTCGACAATGTCGCGGGCATGGACATCCGTCGTCACGAGCGACGTCACGATGCAACGCTGAAGCTTGGTCAGTGGCGACCGAATGAGCCGCGTGAGGCCGCCCAGCTGCGACACGATCGTTTTGTGCCACTTTTCCAGCCCGCCAGGTACCCCGAACGCCGCTTCACATTCCTTGGCCCACACCATGTACGTGACGCTTGCCACACACTGCGCTGGATGGTGAAAGATCCAGCTATCTCGCTGGGCTGGTTCGTAGTCTCCGACGCAAGCTATGGAGCAGCAATGAGGCGCACGGGATGGACGATCGACCAAGTATACCCTTCATGGACCGATGGAGGGATGTCGTCATGCTCACTTGCACCGCATTGAGCCAGTCTTCAATATTGCCGCGCGCTTTCAAGTTGCGCCCGAACGCCACGCGCTCCCCTTCGGCCGAGTTCATACTGAGGATGTCGATGGACCCGTGCGCGTCGCCAAATTCGAGCCGCATGATCGCGTCAAACAGTTTGCACAAGTGGGGTTGGACTGCATGTGGCTCCTTGGTATGGGCCAAGATCTCGAGCAGCTCGTCATTGCTGAGAAAGTAGAAGCGAGGGAACGACTGTCGCTTGGTTTCGAGGTAGTCTTCCAGGGACTTGCGCATCTTCTCGAGGGAATCTACTCACGGTTGATGCCACCGTCGGCTTTCTTTGCCAGCAAGAAGGACTCGTACGGTTGTGCTTGACGAGGGTGTCGCACAGGCCTGGCGCCGCCGTCGCCTTCATGCAGTTGGGCGTGTCATGCGTCTTGAGCATCAAGTCCTTCCAGAAAGTATTGACAACGGAAAACATTTGCGCTTCCGACGGCAATTGGCGCTGGATGTCGGGCGCGGAAAAGATTGTCTCGAGGTAGACCCATTCGCGCTGGCACGCCATCCACTCGTCCACAGTTTCTGCAAACACGGGCTTACCGAGAGACTCTCGGTCACTGGATCGACCTACCTTGAAACGACACTAGACGCTTGTGCAGCGCAACGGCGTCGTCTCGAATCGGACCGACGTAGCGGGACCCCAGGATCGTGTTCATGTTGATCAAGCTCTCCTCAAGCGCGCTCACAATGTCGTCCGTCGCGCCGAGGACGTACAAGTCCTTGCGATCGTTGTGCGACTTGATGTCAAATTCCAAGTCTGCCCAAAGACTCGTAATCCGCATCAGCATGTTCTCGAGCAACTTTTCCTGCGTTGCTTCCGTCGCGATGCGGTTCACGCTTGGCGCGAACTCTTGCAGCTTCATGTCAACGAGGCGGCCAAGCGTTAGGGTTGGATCTCCCATCACGTCGAAGTGCAAGACTTCCGTCAGCTACAAATTTGTTATGCCCCATCATGCATCATATTTCTCCGGATGAGGAAGGATAAGGTACCTCCTGCCAGTGCCGCTCCTGAAGCGCAGGGCATCGTAAGTCGCTGACGATCGGCAGCGTCTCCTTGAAGCTTTCGACGGCTTCTTTGAGCGCATGGACGACGGGGTTCCCCGGCAGCGACCGCTCGCAAGTCAGCGCGATCTTGAAATATGCCGTGATCTTTTCGTCCAACGCCGTCACGTTCGCATCGGCGAACGCAGCGTCGCGCCATAAATCGGCCTGGGTTGCCCAGTCCTTGGTGGCCTTCCACACCTGAATTTTGATCTCCAAATCTTCCCGCAGGACAGCCAGCTCATCAAACGAGCTCTGTGCAAGGCCGAGGGTCCTCTGAAAACCAACGTACTTGACACTCGTCGCCTCGTGTTCGACCAGGCGTTCGTGAATGCCTTGCAAGATCGCGAGCATGTCGGAAGCATCGCTTGAGATCGAGATGAGCCTCTCGTCGTTGAGTTCGTCCAGCCGCTCTTGGATCTGCGCCGTCAGTTTCGGGATCTTCTTCTCGAGCTCTTTTGAAAACTTCTCCGTGTACGCCTCGGTGGACGTGTCCAACAGATCCATCGACGTCTTGAGCTGCGCGCGCTTTTGGGCAAGCATAAAAGCATTCGTCGAATCCAAGTCCGATACGTGGATCTTGTATTCGTCTGTGAGCCCATACAGCATCTTCAAGAACATGTAGCGGTCGTCTAGGCCATTCATCTTGGACTGCGTATCTCGAAGCGACGCCAGCGCCTGGGCAAACTCGTCCACAGTCGTCGGGATCGAGGAGATCGCGTCGTTAGCCTTGGACACCTCGAGCATCAGGTCTTCGTTCTATGCAAAATATCATTTCGTGCGCTCTGCCATAACCCTTGAATGACATACCTTGTGCTGGGCAATGGTGGGAATGAGAACATGCAGCGCATCCATACACTGTCGAGGCGACGGCTTTAGCGTCGCATTGAGTGCACGGCAGTCGGCCAAGATGAGCCCAACCACGGCCGAGTCGGCAAGTGTGTCGAAGCGAGCAATCTGCTCGGTATACTTGTCGAGTTGATCGCGCAGGTCCTCGATCGACCGGCCCAAGTTGGTCGCGTCCGTCAGATTCGACGCGACCTGGCGAAATGTCATGTTTTCAATGAATTCGGCCTGGAATGTCGCGAGCGATTGCGTAAACGTGGCCAAGTCGTCGTAAGATTGCGTGATCAAGTCGACAATGCCTGTCGTCATGGCCTGGAACCGCGAGTCTTCCAGCACGATCATGTCCAAGTTGAGGCCCGCCGAGAGCTCGCCGTTCGAGATCTCGTCGAGGGAAGGCTTAACAAACGGCCCAAATTCGGTGTGGCTCATGAGCCGATCCCGCTTTGTTGCGGCTTTGAGGCCGCAAAAGACCACGCTTTCCAATTCAGCGCGGAGCTCGTCGCAGCTTGGCGTGAAGAGCAAGTCCGACCGAAACGACGAACCGTGTTCTGGCACCAAATGAAGGTGAATTTCCACTCGAAACAGTGGTGCCACGGCTGGCGGTGGCATGGCATGGAGCTTGAGCTTTTGCTTGCCGGCAGGCGCCGTTGGAGGACTCGTTGCGACTGGCGCATGCTTCGGCTTCAGTGCGTTATGGATATCTGACGCGAGGACTCTCGCGAGCCGCCGCATCTCCTCCAGCAAACACTGCGTCGACACCACTCCAAGCAACATGAACGAATCGACGACAAAAAACTCGACCAGTCGGATCAACTTGGTGATTTTCCGGCACTGCGTGCGCATTGCGGCGCGCTCGGTGAACGTGACGGCCCGGCCGTTTTGCCACACGGCCTTTGTCTCGTTGTGTCCGTCGTCTGGGCTCTTGTTGGGTGGCTGGCCATCGTCCTCAGACGATGCACTCTGTCCCATGAGCGCCAGAATCGATGCCAAGTTGGGCGGGAGTTTCTCGGGCGTGGCAAATCCGTTTGACAAGAGAAAGTCGCTTAAAAACGCGTTGCATGTCGTGTGCGTTGTGTCGACGATTGCCTTGACGAATTCACCGATCCGGGTCTGCGTGTCTGTCATCTGAACTTGCTGGCACTCGGAAAACTCTATCAGGGTGTACGTGCGTCGTGCTTCGATCGAAAAGACTCGAAGGAGCCCCATGTTGTAGCACAGAGTCCGGAGTTCCATGAGCGCCCCGTGGAGCGTCGGGCGAAGGATGAACAGGTCTTGCGTGAGCACGCGCTTGCACAGTGCCGTCTTGACGGCGCGGACGTTGGTTTTCCACGTCCGAAACTGCTTCCACACTCGGTACTTTTGGAAGAAAGGAATCTCCCGCACGAGCGAAAACATGTAATGCTCCCGTTCAAATGTTTCGAGGTAGGTGAATTCCGGCACTCCGTCACAAAAGTGCGTGATGCCGGCGCGACTCATCGTGTAGTAGTCATGCACGTTGATGGCAGCGTGATCGACCACAACGAGTTTGTACGGGTTATCTTCGGCGCGGGCCTGGACGACAACAGTCTGACCATGTCTGTGGGACTGACACGAAAACGTACCAGGTATAGAAAGGAGTCTTTCGGCACCCCGGACGTCAAGATGCTCTCCTCAACACTCTCCGTGAACGTCTTGAGCTGCGTCGACTTCTGGAGCAGTTGCGCGCGAGTTGGTGGAGCAACTCCATCTGCCGGCTTTTGAATCGACAGCGTCGACTGGCGCGGAACAGCGACGGGTGGCGACACAAACTTTGGCTTCTTGGCTTGCGGGCGGCGGACATCCAAATAGTACGCATCACGGGCGCTTAATGGAGTAGGTGGCGATGGCTCCACGGAGGCAGGTGGCGATTTCGGAATGACGAAGCGAGATGCCGTTAGGCTTCCTTTGTTCCCGGTCGGAGACAAAGGTGAATGCAGTGGCTCCGGACGACGAGGTACGAGTGCCTTTTCTGTCGGATTTGGTGGGACAAGAGGTTGTAGAGTAAACGGACTGAGTTTCGACCCGGTTTCTTTGTTTGGTGGAAACAACTGCGCCTGGAGAAGTGTGCGCTTGATTCCTTTGGCATAAATTCGATCAACAAGGAGGGCTTTGTCCGTTTGGCCGGATGGAGGGTGGACGCCCAACGCTCCAGTTGGTGGAGTTGCATGGCCCGATGACTCTTGGCGCAGGTCGTTGAGGTTCAAAATGCGCGACAGTCGCTTCGGAACACTAGATGTGGCATGTGTTGATGGAGGAGGCGCTGGTTTCTTCTTCCCAGGCGGAGGCGCTGCTGCCCGCACCTCGTCCGCCATCGTTGGCGATCCAGTGCGACTCTTCAAGAAAACCCATCAACCAATGAAACGCAAGCACAAAACGTTTCACTTGAAACGTTCGCTTTCGTCGGCGCGAAATCACAAATAGTTGTCAGTGGTTTTCAACATCCGTAAAAATATTGGGATTTGTCTGCTTTCAGAATATGCTTGACTGTGATCTGCAGTCTCGTTTGGTTTGCAGCTCGTTTGGTTTTTAAACCCCCAAATCCCCGACAGCTCGACGTGGAAAACCGATGTATAGAATTGACGGATAACTTCACAGGGTGTGCTTTCCTTGAAAAATCCTCTCAAACATAATTTTTCAATTGATGTAAGAATTTATACATTTATGGGGGTGTACTCTTCTGGGAACTCAGGACGCCAAGTCAAGCGAACAAGTGACGAAATTGAAGCTACGATACGCGGGTGCCACAAATGCACAAATGCACCGTCAGACCTTGCGCTCCCTGTCAAAGTGCCCATGGCGACGATATTTCGCCACAAGCCGCCGAACAGCCCCGATTACAATGTGTTAAACTTAGGATTCTTTCATTCTATTCA